TAGGACACCCCAAGAATCATACTATGTGCCTGAGAGCATTGTCCAAACGCTTTTTGAACTCAGACAGGCTGGGTGCTGTGACCACTTCCCTGGTGAGCCTGTTTCAGTACTCAACCACCCTCTGGGTAAAAAACTTTTTCCTGATATCCAACCTAAACCTCCCTTGACTCAGCTTCATGCCATTTCCTCAGGTCCTGTCACTGGTCACAAGAGTGAACAGATCAGTACCTTCCCCTCCTCTTCTTCTCATGAGGAAGTTATGGACTGCAATGAGGTTTCCCCTCAGTCTCCTCTTCACCAGGCTGAACAGACCAAGTGATCTCAGCCGCTCCTCATACGGCTTCCCCTCAAGGCCCTTCACCATCTTCATAGCCCTCCTTTGGACAGTCTCTAATGGCTTATTATCTTTTTTTAATTGTGGTGCCCAAAACTGCACGCGGCAGTTCAGTCAGCAGTTAGCTCTTCTCTGCCTTCCCTGTCCCTCCACCCACCTACCATATCAACATTTTTATTTAAGTAGTCATCAATTCAGGAAAAAAGAGGGGAAAACCAGTGTTCTGCATGTACCAGATTAAACTGATATTATTAATGACATCAGAATACAAAGAAAAAACAAACAGATAACTGTCCTCTGAAGGTGCTCTGGTTAACTATGTAGAGTGATGGGGAAAAAAAAATCAACATATTGAAAATAAAAACAAAACAAATATTCTGTAGCAATAGAAAACAAAGAAAGAAAACTGACATGCACACAGAAGCAGTACAAATGCAAAAAGCCACTCAATGCAGTTTGTCATAGAGTGAACAACAGAAGGCTTCAGTGGGAAGGGACAGTACAGGAATGCACCCATAAACTCTTACTGATTTAAGATCTGCATTAGTGTGATCGTTACAATGTCTGAGTGCTGCGTACAAAGCTTCCTGCAACGCAGCAGTAGTCAGTTTGACAATGATAATGCTAGAAATAAATTAATGCCAAAGGACTCCACAACCACAGGCGACTGCTAATGGGATTCATACATTTACTAGATCAAACCTCTGGTGCAGGTCAAGAGCAGCAGTAACATTACTGGTAACTGACAAATGTGTGGTGGACTGCGTGAAAGAAGTTGGTAGTTTCAGTCCATTTTGTGACTGGTGGACAGGTGTCTGCAATGCACAAAACAGTCACCACGATCGTCACCTCAAAGTGTCTCAGACAGACCAAGGACTGTGAAATGATATGGCTATAGAATGCAAAGCTCAAAGACCTCTGCATGCGAGAAAACCCACCATTGCCTCTGGAAATATATTTCAGCAATTACTAACCCTCATGGTTACTTCCAGTCAAAAAGTGACTTGTCATTTGCCAGCCACAATGGCACACAGTTCTGAAGTGGGTTTTCTACATGGGGACCCAGAGAATCCCTATCCATCCCTGCCTCTGGGCATAATCCCTCTCTGGGACAGGGTCCGAGCACCCATCTGACCAGAAGAACTCTGAGCACCTCTCCCTCCCCCAGAACTCATGCTGTACTCCTTGCTGTGCTACACACAGCAATTGCTGCCTGCTCTAACAGGTTCACATTCTTCCTGTCCTGGGGACCTCAGAGTTGTGCACAATACCCCAGGTCTCACCAGAGAGAATAGGGGCAGAATCACCTCCCTCAACCTGCTGGCCACACTGCTTTTGATGCAGCCCAGAATACAATTGATTTTCTGGGTTGCAAACACACATTGCTGGCTCATGTCCAGCCTCTCATTAACCAGCACCCCAACTCCTTCTCTGCACGGCCGTTCTCGATCTGTTCATCCCTCAGCCTGTGCTGATACCAGGGGTTGCCCTGACCCAGCTGCAGCACCTTGCACCTCGTCTTGTTAAATCTCATGAGGTTCCAAAAGGCCCACTTCTTGAACTTGTCCAGATCTCTCTGGATGGCATCCCATCCTTCAGGTGTGTCAACCACACCACTCAGCTTGGTATCACCTGCAAATCTGCTGACAGTACACTCAGTTCCACTGTCTACATCACTGATGAAGATATTGAACATTACTGGTTCCGATACAGACCCCTGAGGGGCACCACTCATGACTCATCTCCATCTGGACACTGAGCTATTGACCACTACCCTCTGGATGAGACCATCTAACCAATTCCTCATCCACCACAGTCCAGCCACTAAATTTGTATCTCTCCTGTATAGAGCAGGATATTGTGGGGGACCACGTCAAAGGCCTTACAGAAGTCCAGACAGATGACAACCTGTTGGATAGACCAAACAGGTCACTGCCAGACACACTATTATTTAAAGCACACTTGGAGACATGTTTCCTTATCTACCTTTCAGTGTCTCACATTCTGAACAGATATTTTAAATCCTGAACTCTCGAGAAACAGAATAGAAAGCAGGTGGCAAGAAACCTAATTATTCTCCTCTGTATATGGCTTTTGTGTGGATTTATAAAACATCTGTGACTGTTCCATGGGCAGCCATCCAAAGTGCTCTAGAGGAGCCAACTTGATTCACCAAAGCTACTGCCTCTGTGCCTCTGCAGAAGCACACATGGTGCTGTTGGACACTGTTCTTACTCATTTCATCTGAAATAACATACCTTGTTCCATACAGTATGCAGTCCTTTCTCTTGGACACGCTACCAGTTATCTACAGGGTTTTTTGTGAGATAGACATATATATCACAGGAACCCAGACAGCCAAAAAAGGCCAAATTGTCTCTGTTGACAAGTTACTAAAACACTACTGGTTTTTTAATGTCTAAAAACGGCTTACCTTCCTTAGCTTGCACAGAAAGCTTTGTCTCATGAAGTATTTGTAGCATTTCCTACAGGCTGACTGGGAAGTACTTGAGATAAAATAGTGCTTGCAAAAGACAAAGGCAACTACCACAGTTGAAGAAAAGGCAGCTTTTTACAGGTGATCAGCATTCACGTAAATACATACACATAAAATAGGGAATCTCAGGCAAAAGATATTCTCTTATCACTGCAATTGCATGTTTAAAGGTCCAAATAACATCAAATGAATTTTTGAACACAAATATAGTCACTCCGTGAGTGAAATCTGAGGAGAAAGGTGATGAGGGATACACACAGGGAAAGCATTCCCATTTTATTTCAGTAGACATGAGAACAGTCCCCAAGCACAATGCAGATACACAAACTGAAAACAAACCTACCTACAATCTGGCAAGGATGTAAATAACAAAGGAAGTAACAAAACCTAACAGAAGTTTTCTAGGCTGTTCTTCCTAAACAGAAGCATTCAGTTGCAAACAATCACCACAGTAAGGCCACGGCTGATAAAGTAATTAAAATTAACTCAGCTCCCAAACAAGCGGAATTTGAAATCCTTCCACTACTTTAGGAACTGGGGAGAAGTTTTAACAGTTCTTTTCCAGACCACTGTCACATAAAGGAGTATACTGCATGCTGAGAAAATCAAAGACAAAGTTGGAAGAAGGGGTGATTAAAGCAGATTCATCCTCAACCAGCCACTGCTTGTTCCCGTGACACTGTAACTTTTGAGACACTGTTATGAACCAGATTGGGAACAGATCTGGGTAAATATAATCCTTCATGGCTTTTGTGGCAGTAGCTAGAGGAAGAAATGGTGACTCGGTTATACTTAACTCTCAAAAGCTCCCGGATCTATTTACCATGCAGCCTCACAAACAGATGCACCACCATTAAGTAGGGAGGTGGTGTGTGGGCTGCCAAAACCACCACCACCACCAGAAACACTGGCCTGAGGCTGCAGCTGATCTGTGCCATAATTAGTCTCCCTACTTATCTAATCATGATAAAACAAAACAATCTTCTATTCATTTTAAAGACCAGCATCCTACAGGGAACATTATATCTCACTCACTCAGCACAAGTGTTTATCTCTTCAACTAAGAGCACTCTTGAAATTCAGTCTGTTTCAGACTTAACAAGTATCAGGCACAACAGAAATCAAATAGGTAGTATAACAAAGTCAACACCTAAAACTCTAGTCCAGCACATTTATAAGTTCAAGGTCAACCCTTAATTCATCGTTACCTTGATATTGGTTTTGATTGTGATATACTGAAGACACTTTTTTGTTTGGCTTACCTATTGACTTGCCTGGGACAGGAGGAAATCCTGTAGTTTAAGGACTGAATTCACTAGAGACTTTTTACGTGAGAATGAAAAGCAGACATTCCCAGCAGCATACGGGGGTAACATCAGCAACTGCCTTACCTGCTATTTTGCCATATTTCAAGAGAAGTAGAATGCAAGGAAGCAATGAACAAATTTTAGGGGACAATAGTTCCTGACATAAATCAAATAGCAGGATTTTAAGGTGTGGCAAAGCCCAGTCAGACTCCCCTTTTTCCATAGGAAACTGGTATAAAGAAGAAAGCATAACAGTCCAACACAGGAGAACTGTAGCCTGGTCCCACCTCAAGATAACACAGCAAATTACAGGTCTTCAGATCAGTTTTCCTGCAGTAAAATGGGGAATAATACTTTATATTAAAGTGTTGGAAACTACAGATGCCCCGATATATCAGATGTATTTATATAATACATCAGGGGGATCACTGATTCCTCCTACACCCCAAGTGTAAATAAGGCTATTTCACATAGAAAAGGACTGCAAACCTCTTAGACAGCCATCTGCTACAGAGATTCAAGAAAGGAGCCCACGTACAAAGTAGGGTTGGAGTGGAGATGGAATGTTGTTTATGTGATGCTTGAACTCCACAGAGAAGGAAACGTACCTTTACTATTAAATTAATAACATAATACCATTACTTTGGTACATCGACACTGTAATTCTTTTCCTTTGTCAGTTAGATTTCTTGTTGTTATAACAGCAGCTACAACAAAATCTGTGTCTGGATGCCAAAACCACAGCTGTCAAGAAAATCAGTCTCAAAACACCAATTGCAGAGAACAAGAAATTAACCCCGAGATGACTGTAGCAGTCAACTACAAAGTAAGGATTTACTATGGAGTCCCCCACACCTCTTACCTCAAGCATAGGGCGGGCACTGTCATGGATTGAAAGAATGTGCGTAATGTTATTCTTACTCAATTGCTCTACATCTCGGGCATCTGTGACAGAGGGAAAAAAAGAAGAGAAATTTTTTAATCTCTTGAAATAGCCCACTCCCCTTTCCATTGTGCATGTTGAAAAGCCACCTATCATCGGTACATTTTTCTTGAAGCTTCATAAAGTAAGGCAAAACCCCAAATGCAGCTATTCTAGAACACCATAATCAGAGTGGGTAATGGGAAGACACACTTCTAACTCCAAAACAAATTACATACTATATAAAGAACAAGCTTAAGTGACTCAGGAATGTGTTTTTAAGTCAGAAGTTTCATGTATTTTGCATCTGAAATATAAGTTTATGCATGCTTCCGTGCAGGTGATGGCCATCTGAACACGCAGTCAGAGCTGTACAAGAAATAGTTTGCCTCCTCTCTACCCACAAATCCCCCTTCAGGAGAAACATTTTCACTTGGGAGACAGACCTTGTGATATTCAGGTCTGAGAAGGCAAGCCAACCATATTCCTTGAATTATTAACGGACAAGCCAAAACAATAACTACATTCTTACTTCCTGTGAACCAGTAGGAAAAAATGTGCATTTAGCCAATACATACCATAATTTAGAGTCTAAAGAGAGATCAAGATGATAAAGATATCGAACGTATGAAAAAGCAAAATGCTACAGCAAGGAAGTGCAGTTATGAAAAGGTGTTTCCTAGACCAAGGGGTTTCTAACATTCAAAACTGGAAAGAAAACTGGGGCGACTGAAAAGTTGATGCTAGATATTGCGAAAGCATAGGCTTATTTCTGTGAGGAAAAAAAAAGTTAAAATAGACTACCTGTCATCAGTGAGCAACTTTCCCCATATTAAACTATCAGCATGCCAGAAAATTACCCAAAAGAACCACCAATACAGGTAAAAGTTAGCGTGTATCCATTTGTCCATTTACTTTTGACCCTTTTGCTTGAGAATGGCACAGCACACCATGGCAATTACAGCAGTGGTTTTGTGATGTGAACACCTGCCTTCGAAATCTGCCCATCCAATCTGTTCACACTAGCCTGGTTGCACACAAAAAAAGAGCACTGACCACAAAGGTTTCAAACTGGCTCTCTCTAGGTACAAAAATAACAATAGCATCACCTGTACATTCTTTATGTACGTGCAAGAGTTCAATTAGCATCTCTTGTGTCATCTTATCCACCTACTATAAAGTTTCAATGCCTTTTCTACATCACAAAGAGGAACTGGACATTTAATTATACTGTCGCATAGACAAGATCCATGTGAGCACAGTAACGGGCAATAAAATTTAAACTCAATCCTAATGAAAGCTTTTCTACAGCTAAAAAATTGGAGAGTGAAAACTTCATTGATTTTACTCACTACTGGTCAAGCCTGCATGATCAACACAGATGTCTAACCCTTCAGAAGAGAATTAACACAAATTCTGTCTGAAACAGAACTAATGTCTAGCTGCACAGAACAATTAAAATTTCCTAAAAATCGCAGAGTAAACATTTTGAAGAAGAAATGCTCATGTTTGCCAGGAGAGGTCTTCTAATCCACTTGACCTTCATATTTTGTTAACAGTTTATAGGACAGTCTTGATTCCTTAGGGAAAAACTAAGCAGGTAAGGATTTGGAAGCCCATAAACCAGCCCAAGTGTCCCTAAAAATCGCTGCTTTCTGTTTTACAAAGACTAAGAACAGATTTCAGAGCCTGCTGGCTGGAACTCATGAAACTAATGTATACCTAGCACAATGAGACCCCAATCTCTAAATATCAATATGACCTACATGGTAAGAAATGGTTTGCCACACAAGGCAAACTTCTTTAAAAGAAGATATGACCCAAAGTAAACGTTGGCTGCTTTGAACCAGTCTGAAAGGCCTAGTGGACACAGTATAACTCAAAATGACTGAAATATCTTATTTCTTCAGTTAACCAAGACTTAGGCTAAGGGAATTTCAGCAAATCAAAACTATACAGTGAGATTTCAGATATTTCTAGAAACAAGTTGGAAATGGCCATCCCAGATCTACATCCCAGAGTAACCAGCAGGTCCTCAATATATTTAGGAAACAATCAATCAAATCACTGAAGTAGAGAAGAAAAAGCTTCCCAGCCAACGACTGTATTATCTGGATCTAAATTTCAAACAGTTTACAGAGGGGAAATTCCCCAGCACCTGCGTAAGTCTCTACAGATACTATAGATAAAGCTATTTAAACAGCAGTACAAATAAGATATCCTGTCACTCATGGTCTCATACCATAAATAACAAAAAAAAAAAAAAGGGTTATGTAAAGAACCACCAAAAGCCAAAAGAACCACCATCACCACAGCAATTCTAATTTCTTTACTGAAGCACAGTGCTATACAAGCACATGCAGGCTCACATTTTGAAATCACAGTGTGAAACACCCTATTTTCAAACTTTAAGATCAAACCTACCTATCAGAGCTCATCTTGTGCATCCTCTAAAAGGTCTCTCAAATGTGGTATTACTCTTTACAGCAGGTTACCTAATATTCTGTTTCATACATCAAAACACTTCTCAGCTGATGTGGACTTCTGAGTAAAGCCTTCTGGAAGATCACTCCTCACACAAAAGGACACAATTCACACTGGGGAAATCATCTTCTCTTCCCCTGCATTTAGCCTATTTTCCCTCAGTTTGACTCTATGACTCCTAGTTCAACCTCTACTCATATGCAGAGAGTTGGAAACACTTAATCGTAAAAGCAATGCCAAAGTCATCAAAATAGGACCAGGGGGCTGTCACAATTTGTTTCCCTGCAGCTCTGGGAAGCCTTATGGTGTGGCTGGGGAGCAAATCACCTAGTGCAGTGTGCTTCCATCCCCCATAAGCAAAAAGGAGACAACACTGTTCCAACCACTCCAATTATGACACATCAATGACTGAAGGACTCCAATACTAGAGTGGTGAAGTCTCAAATGTACCTACAACCATTTTCTCTTACTTTAGTATTTTAGTGCTTCCATGGAGACGCAAGGTGAGGGATAAATATTTCTCCCTTTGTAGAGTTAGATGGAAAGAAACAGCTGTGGAGTCTTTTCCACCTCTACTGCTAACAATAAAATACAAAAGCATGCTGCCAGGAATAGGGGGGCAAAAAAGCATTACAGTGATATGGGCCTGATCTGCAACACTTGACTGTAACTCACTTGTGAATTTTAAATACACAAGTTTAAATACATCCACAAAATAAGTGAGATTAGTTTCAGTTTATTTTCATTTTGTCACCCCTCTTCCCATTAGCCAGCTACTAAAGACATCCTCCCTTCTTGATTCTCCAAAGCCCACATTTCTGACTTTTTAAGTCTGAGAAGACAAACATACTCCTACAACACAGTAAGATAGTATTAAGTTTTCAGTATAACATTTTAGGTTAAGTAGAGAAAACCGAGGTAAATGCTTAAAGAAGGCAAGTCAGCCTTGCCTTGTACTTAGGTACAACAGTGTTAAGTCTTAATCTGCAGATGCATAGAGACTACAGTTTCATCATCACCAGATGTTGTAGGGGTTTTTTTAAATCAAGTAACTTTATTTTCTGCTTTGGAGAGAACTAGAGATGGACACCTAAAGAAAAACCTTCCCCATCAGGAGAGCTTTGTTCCCAGTCCTGTTATCTGCACTTACAGAGACACACACAGAAACTAAGCGTGTGAACAAAAGATCCATGTCTCCTTTCTCCACTTCACACTATGTTCTAGTACATATTCTGACCCACCCTCTCGGAAGGACTTTTTCGGGGAATGAGAAAGGTGGGGAAACGAGTTCAGTACTCTGTTTAATCAGAGCACCTATAAATTGTCTTCCTTCAAAAGATTAACCTGAAAAAGGGAATGGTATCTTCACCCTCTCCTGTTTTCAGTACCTGAAATTAAATCTTAGAAAATGGAACTTTAAAACCAACATTAAGCAGATGATAATGGGAATTAATGGAATCTAGAAACACAGCAGAACCACTTGGTGGACACTGCCTTTTTATACGCTTAATAATGGGAAGGGCAAAAACTTTCCCAAGACTCTCCAGATCATCCACAGCAACACTGGACTCTTCGGGGGGAATTAAACCTCTTATTGTGGCTTTCCCCTTCAAATTAAAAAAACCCCAAATATTCCATTGGAAAAACCTTGAATGATTACAAGCAAGGCAGGACACAAGCTCTTTAATATTGCAGGTAGAAACACTCTTGCGTCCTGGTTCTTGCTACTGCTACACCTTTTCGTTTGGAAGCAAACTGAGCACCCATTTAAATCTTTTATCAGAAGAAATGGATTTTTTTTCCATTTGTGCAGAGAAACAGTCTGTCCTGTCAATCCCGTAATGAACAAAGCACCCATTTTCATTGTAAGCACAGGTGACTTTCAAGAGACCTCAGGTCACTAGTGCAGAAGACACATGGACTTGCAGTACCATAGTATATTCTTTGTCTTTTGAGGCATTTCATCTCTAAGGTACAACAGAAACAAACCAAATTTTCCCCAAAACTAGAGGCGGGAAGAAGAGTTAACTGCCTCTTTCTCTTCCCTCATTTTTCTCTCTTAGCACCCTACCCTCCCATTTGCAAAGAAATAACTCCTCCTTCACTTTCACAGAAGAAGCCCAAGAGCTCTGTTTCCTTCTGGACTTACAGACCAGACTCAGTCTTGGTATTTTGTACGGACACCTATGGTTCTTCTTGATTTTTTTCTGCCCTCTAGCTGTGCAATCTCAAATACACCCTCTCAGGAGCATACCACAATTTTAATGTGCTACTGATGAGCTTGTAAGATAAAAAGCACTTGAACACATGCCAAGATTCGTGCTTTTTCAGGAAAGTTTTTCAGATACATAATCAAGCCCTGTGGACTAGGGGGATTTCAAGAGATATTTCAGTGCTCTCCATAATCAGGACTACACTAACTTTCTACCCTGAAGACCCTTAAAGTGGTTATTAAAGCCCCTCTCATTCTATGTGCTTAAAGGTTTGTGCAGCAGCAAACAAAACAGAAGCAGCAAGCTCAGTTCCCATTTCTACCACAGGTTCATTTCAGTAGTTTTTCCTGGGCCTCAGTTTATCTCCCAGTTAACTGCAGAAGAGTTCGCACTGCTCTGTCATAGATTGTTTTTATGTTGATTAGGCCTAAAAGTAGAAATATTTCTGAATATTGAATAATAATTCCCCAATCAGAACAATTGCTGTCTGCCTTCTCCAGGCAACAGCCCTCTGAAATTACAGTGTTTAGCATCCCTAACACCATGCTTTCTCTCAGCAGGAAGGCACCTATCTGGAACAACTGTGCCTTTTCTCCATCTGTCAGTATCCCCAGAGGTCTCTGAGGCAGCAGGGAGACAAGAGTGTGTGTAGAATGGTATTTTGATACAGCTCTGGAAACTGTTGCCTGCCAAGGGTCCTCGAGGTGCCACTGGGGAAAGGCTATCCTCCAGAGGGCACATCAGAGCAATTTAGACATTCCTCTGACTCAGCTTTTGGAGAAGCTCCCTCCTCTCTAGCCCCTGTTCAAGGACCCAGACCCTCAGCCCTGTATCCAGGTGAGATGCACAAAGCCAGGGAATCAGTGTTTCCTCCTGTTACTGACAAGATGCAACTTTACTCAATTCAAGCTACTAAGAAGAAGCTGAAGAAATGGGAGACTAGTCAAAAGTACATTACAGGAAATAATGTTGTAAACCCATGTCTTTATATGCATCTAGTCATTTCAGCTGCCCAAATCAGGACATTCTGACCAGTCCCAACTGTATATGCTGCCCAGTATTTCTCAGCAGTCTCAAAACTAATCAGCCGCTTTTTGAAAAAGTACCACAAATCAGAACATGCTCCAAGAACACAGTAATCAAACTCCTCCAGAAAAAACCACTGGTAATAAACCTGTTCCTAAATGGGATGACTTCACTGCATGGAGAGTTTATTGCAACTGCTCCTAAGCAGTGAGGCAGGGGGGCGTTGAGGGGCAGGGGATGCAGAAAAAAGTGAAAATTGTAAAAGTATGCTTTTGTATTAGTGAAGGACAGTAACACCTCTCTTCTCTCTTCCTCTCCAGGTACAGTAGCTTATCTGATATTGAATCAGATGTTTGTGATGGTAGAACGTAATGATTAAATGCAATATGAGCAAAAGTCATAGCAGTAAATAAATGAATTTTTGTGTTTTTTAATCTGTTTAAAAAACCAGACCCCACAACACAAATACAGAGATTAAAACCAGCTCCTCTTTTACTCTCTCTTATGCAGGCAGCTGAAGCATTTCACCCTCTGCTTTTCTTTCAGCTAGGCTCCCAGAAACACTGCCCACTCACACCACCTTCAGCGCACACCTGTGCTATCCGCACAGGAGTGACCTGACGTGCCATTTAGGGACCGTTCCCAAGGCGCAAAGCTGAACAGCCAGGGTAGCACAGGCGAGAGGGTCATAGGCCCTAGCACTGGCAGAGATGCTGACTCACTCCACAACCTTGGCCAACTCCCTTCCACTGAAAACAGAACTGCACCAGCAAACAGATGCTCTGGCTGAGTTTCACTCCCCAGGGCAGACTGTCAAGGGCTTACCAGCAGGATGGCCACAGTGAGAGGGACAGATTGACTGCCATGTTACCACAGCTCATCCTGCCCACCTTGCCAGACTGCTCGAAACCTAAAGAACTCCAGTATCAAACATCCTCCCAATTCCACTCCTCTCCTAAATTACTTCAGACAAAGAAAACAAAAAGAGGAAGCAACATGGCTGTGACCAAGTTAGTTAATTTTGTCATCAGCCCATGCAGTAGTCCATCCAAAGTGTTTTCAAAACTATCCTCTTCACCTTATTTTCCTTTTTTCCTACTTGTTTCTTTTTTCTCCTTTTATTATCTACTTCCACCAATACGAATTCACCTCCATCCTCTCATTTTCCTTACCATGGCATGATTAACTCCCTCACATGCTAGCCTTTGTACTTGTATCTGTGGTGTGGCAAAAGGCAGCTTTTAACTTCACATGTACCTCCGGGCTGCCTCCCAAGGTGATTGGCTCCGCTTCCCAAGGGGCAGCAAGCACTGGACCCACAGTGTGGGCCAGTAGATCCAGTGGCAGGTAAATCAGGCAAAAAAACCACTGAACTCACAGGTTTCGGGATGGGGGGCAAGGAAGGAAGGGTGAGTATGAGGCAGAGAGAATGTGCAGCACCATCTAAATCCAATGCAGATGTTGCCAGTCTTAACAGACTGTTTGTAGTATCACTCAGACCAGAAAGGACAGGATATAGCAGTAGTCCCTACGAGCCCTGCTCTATTTTACCGAAGCATAGGAAATGTGGGGTCTACATCTATTAAAAAAACCTGTACATGCACAACTGGTTTACTTCTGAGTAGGGAGTGTCAGCTGGAACTGCTCTTAACAGAATGCTTTGAGAACAGGCCATTTATTTGGATGTCTACATAAAGTTTCCTGTTTGCTAAATATGACTGGTTTTCTTTACGCAGAAAATAAACCTCATGCATAAAGGAAAAAAATCCAGAGAAACTTACAGCTGCAACATGGACAGTACAAGTATCAGTGGTCAGACTGCAACCAGCAGACCTATCAGTCTCACAAGCGGTGATAACAGAAGTCTTTAGCAGTTGTTATAAATAACCAAAATAATGAAAGCAATGAGCATGAGGCATAGTAAGCCTTTACTTATAAGGAGGGCTTGAAATAAGCCTTACAAAGAATCTGCCTGGATCACAGGCTTGTCTGCCAAGCACAAGAATCATTTAAAGCAGGCCAGTGTTTAGGAATTCCAGCTGAAGCATGCTCCAAGGAGATGGCATTCATTTTTCTTTTCTCAAAGTACTTGCAGCGCAGCACAGCACACGGATGAGAGAGCAAACGACTTCTTCTTCAAGTTTACCAGGGGAATCCAGAAATGAAGCAAGATGGGGTTAAAAAGCTACAGAGATGACAGAGAATTCCAAGGGCCTGTGAAACAACACCTTAAGACCCCTGTTAAGTAACCTAGAGATAATGATAAAACTAATCTTACCTTTAAAGTTGCCAATGAACAAGCCAGGCAGAATCTGCGAGAAAGAAATATAGTATCAAATATAGATATCTTGTGGTAAGACAATTTGACAAAGTTCAATTTGCATACAGGATGGAACATACTACTTTAGCAGACTATTGTCAAATGCAATCTAAAACATGCTGACAACATTTCATGCCTCTTTGCAACCTTCTCAAACTAAACAGCTCTAGGCAAACCATGCCTTGACAGAGTTTGTTGGCAGCCAGGGGTTGTTAATCGTGAGGACTCTCACATAATGGAGGTTCTCCAAGGACAGCAGATGTGGTTTACAAATATGAAGTGGGCCTCGAAAAACACCCTTCCCCCTGCCCCCCCAGCAGGGTAAGAGTTACCCTCATGGAACTAATGATGAAACTTCACACAGCAAAGGTGATTTGCCTAAAGTTGCTACAGAAACTGGACAAAGCCCTGCAAAATGACATCCTTCGAGGCTTTTGAAGTGCAAAGCCATGCAGGTCAGGGCTGCAGCACTGTAGGGCTCTTAGAGGAAATCATTGCGAACAACGAACAACGACGACTTGTGTGTTCACATAGAAAGGAAACTGCTGAAAGTCCATGAGTTGTGTGTTTCTCTTCCAGATCTAACCACTCATCCTAACACTGCCAGAAGCCTGCACAGATCTCGATTACAGGACATTGTTTAATTTGGGAGTCTCAAGGTCTGCCCAAGGACCAGTCTGTGCAGTCTGAGGACATGTGCACATACACAGAGGCAGGTGACACCACAGTGCTACACCTCCCACCCTCTTATAACCCTCTTAACTTGGGAAGAGCAGTAAGACCTCAAAAAAACCCACACACACACCCCAAACACACATTTTCTGGCCAAGAATTTTGTTATCTGCCACCTGAAGTCTCTGACCCACACTCACATAGTTTGAAGAGACCAGAACTGTGGTGATGAAACCACACGATCCATTTTTCTTCAGTGCATGCTGAGCATACCACCAGTACAGATATGTCAGTGCTGACTTCCTAAACCCTTAGCAACACCCGGGTGTCACCACAACAGCAGCAACAGACTCTCAGACAGCTATTTAAAGGGAAAACTCCACCCATTTTGCTCGATCCAGCAGCTGTGAAGTTCTGAAAGTCATGAAGGACTTTTCATCAGGGATTATCACTACAGCCTCCGTTTCACTGCAGCCTTTCTGCTGAAAGGTAAACCAATCCACCATGCAAAGGTTAGCAGGCCAGCAGAAGAGCCAGCAAAATAGCTTCTGACCTGCTTTAACTGCAGGACTTTGGTTCAATAAAAGCATCATCATGTTCGCTGTTATTTATCTCGCCTTGCAGAAAACAGAAAGGTTGCAACACTTCTTGTACTCCCTGCAGCTTCAGTTTGTGCAAACATTCCTCCCTCTATGCTTTGCTGGGTGATCTTTCTCTACTTGCTGTGTCACATCAGCTCTAAACACAGTTCTCAAACTAATTCTCTAAACTCAGTTCTCCCCCTGATGGCTTCTCGAGGACCCTTGATATATCTTGATGCTTGTAGACCCTTGCCTGCAAATTAAGGGCTGATTGACAACACTACCTGGTCAAGAAAATGGTTCTTAAGTCTGGTACAAATACACACCTGTAAGTGTTGCAAAGATAAGCTCAGACAGCTTTCTTCCCTTTCCTTCCCTCTCCATTTGTAGAAATTCAACATTCTTACAAAGGCAGCAAAAATCCTCAGGGCAGTTTCCAATGCCAGAGTATCGAGTAGGGAAAAGAACCTTTACAACATCCTGTGGTCCCTTTCCACACTCACAAGACTCATGGTTTCAAGGGACAATTCAATAATTTAAGTACACTTGATGACTCTGCTAGAAGTGCAGCTCCAAGGCTACCATCCCAGGCTAGTAAATAGAAGCCTGTACCTGCTACAGAGAGGACAGTACAGAAGAGTCATTGCAAAAGAGGCCAAATTCTTGAAACAAAATCATGTTCTAAAGCGAAAGGGAGTCAAGTTATGAATGAATGTCACCAACCAGATCACCAACTTCAGCGTAACAAATAAAAAAATCAAAAACCCTTGCTGATATTTTTAAACAGCTGCCTAGTATTTCCTATCTGCAGCACAAATCTCCAATCACACCCTCACTACTGTAGACTATAGCATTTTAGACTCTAGGACACTATTTCTGCATCAAATGTGCACTCTCAAGAGACGATAAAAGCTTAATTTCCAGTCACAGTCATTAAGCTTAGACATTAGAAATTGAAGGTACCACGAAACACCGGGGGGTTGCAGAAATGAGGTTTCTTGTTGGCAAAGGAGGAAAAATCCAGAAGTCTGCATTTGTGCACCATGAAGCAATCTTATACACTAGATAGGAAATTAGGACACCCTGCAACCAAGGACAGATGTTACCCCTGTTGTCCTAGTCATTCTAGAAGCAAGAAACATTACTATGGGTGAAAGCTACCTGGAAAGAAGTGAATCTTCGTGTCATGCTGACTAATACTTCAGCACTCGACTATGGCTGGGAACCTTCAGCTGTGTCATCTCACACTGCCTTCAGTAACTGCAACTCTGGGCTGTGCAAAATGAAGGCCGATGGCTGCTAGGGGCGTGTGAGAGAGAACGGGTGGGAGTCAGAAGAGTAGAAAAATAAGGTGGTTGTTTTTGTGAACTTTTCAACCACTGCTTTATGAATAAAAACAGTAGCCTCTTTACATCATCTGAAACATCATCCGAAACATTGAGAAAATGACCACAGACTAAATAACAGATGTAGAAGAATTCACAAGCAAGGGACAAGGACACCAATGCCTGTCTTCATTTGTACCTCGCATGTGAGAGCAGCTCACATTCTCTACCTTGCAGAGCCCTGCAATAGACAATGGTTGCTTCAGTTGCTAATGCTTCTCATCAGTCCTCTCTGATAATACACCCTTCAGGAAAATGGCTTAAAGGGCTGCTTCACTGCTGTTTCCTATACAGACAAATGCTTGTAACAAAGCATCTAACTCCTTGCTTCTTCTAGATGCATTAATACTGACAAACTTCCAGAGAAGTTCATGGGCCTTTCTCAGAGATGGCCAGGCTCTGCTAAAAGGAACAGACAAGCCTACCTTTCTCCAGGACCACAGGAGAGTTGCACGCATCAGCGAGGGATATTTGCTGCTGACGTGAACTGGCATAGCTTCTCTGACTTCCATAAAAGTGGTTACATCAGCTCTAAGTAGCCACACTGGTTTAAATTTCTCATAAATCCACTCCTACAATGAACAGGGCTTATCTGCCCTTTTTGTAGAGACAGCACTCAAACCTTCTGAAGGGTTTACACGAATAACCGGCAGTTAACTGTAACAGGGATGAGCAACAACTAAAACCCAGGAAAAACTCTTCACTAAGCATATCCTGTTCACCAATAATGAAATCTTGTCACCATCTCAGCTGCTAGACTTCAGCTCCTGGAAAACATCTTCGTAGTTTTTCAACCACAGACTTCAACTTGAACTTTGAATACAAGTCAACGTTAGACATTAAGCATGAAGACAAATCAGGCCACCCAGAAAATTTCCTGGGGTCCAAGTCAGACCCCATTAATCATTCTGACTTAAGAGATGTAAGAAAAAAAAAAAAGTAAAGTACTGAAAATTAATAGTAGCCAAGTCAATGCACATTCACTAGCCAATTCTCCTTCTCTGAGCAGAATAAGAAGGGCATGTGTAAACCAATGCTTTCAATTTAATTTGGGAAAAGTCAGAAGGCTTGGGTGGACTGAAGGGAAAAAAACTACGCAGGGCTAATATTACAGAGAAAACTAGCAACAAAAGACAAACACCATCTAAAAAGAATGCCAGACCTCCAGCCCTTGATCAGCCCTAATGGCCACAAAGTCAGGTGAGACTGCTATTTGCTATGAAATATATCAGTATCAGGAGACAGAAAAATAAGGAGGGAACCATGCCACTGAGAAAGGCTCCAAAAGCATCCACACAGGCTGTAGCAGTCTCTGGAGCTCTTCCTTACCACACCCATCACAGGTCACCATTAATCCTCTTCCCTTGGCATCAGTACAAAGAGATTCCTTAAATGAAATAATCCACAATTGAATAAGCTGATTATTTTCTCCTACCATCCGTATATAGCTTAACCACAAAAAAAACATTTCAGTTGGAAACTAAAGCAATTTGTATTGACTGACTAAGCTGAGTCAAGCAAATACCCCCCAGCATCTGTGCTAATGACTCCATGCCTCCCCTTGCCCCTCCAGCATTTGCTGATTCATGAGATCAAAATGAATAGATGATCCAGAGGCACATTCTGAAGGTGGCAAGTAGCAGACCCATACGCGAGACCCCTAAAAAAATAAACCCTTATGGCCAGGATCCAGCATGGTTACAGCCTCCTTAAAGGAGCCAGTTCCTCCCAAATGCTGAATGTCTCATCCTCTTGGATACAGTGATCAGAAAAGCGAGAAAAATCCAAATAGTATTATGCTTCTCCTGAAAGCTCTGGCTGGTACATGCCAGGGCAACATTTAACAGAATTAAAATTACCAAATTGGCCAGTCACAGATTGCCAATTCCTATGCAACATGGTACCACAGCAAGATCTAATGCAGCTTCAAATGGCCAAGACTTGTCCTTTTGATTATTTTTTTTCTCTCCAGATTGCAATTTTAGCATCCCATATCCTGTCCCTCTAAATATTTTGATAATTTCAAACATTCATAGAAAAATACTACAAACATACCAGAAGCCTAAAAGGAGTCATTCTAGCTGTGTTTCTTCCTAACTGGCCACTCCTAGAAGATGACTGCAACGAGTGGCTACATATCACAATGTCATCCCCAGACTTCAAAAGCAAAAATGGAGAGAAAGACCAAAGAAGGTTCTACCTCGTACCCAGTAACTCAATTCCTCACCAGCCAGATCTTTCCTCTGCCTAAAGTTCCTATTTCCATGTCTCTACCTATAGGATGAAAAGGCTTCACCTTCCCGGTGGCACACTAAGCACTCTGGACGTTCACCAATCTGACTTCCAGGGGCAAGGATGTCTGACCGGGACAACATGTGAGCAGCTATTTCTAGCTGTTCTCCTCCGCTCTGTCGTAGGCCATGCACGCGGCAAAGCTACTCCCAAAGCACTCAAAGCAGGATGTAAGAGAGAAGAGATTACTCAGCTCCTGTTCCTCATAGTAAGCTATATATAAAAGGCTAGTTACCACCACACTTTCAAACCTGGGTTTAAAACAGAGGTGGAGATACTGAGAAAAATCACAGTTGTCCCTTGATAACGACCATGACATGCCAGGGGAATCAGGCACACAATAAGCCCCCACTGCCAAAAGGCCAACACCCTTCGCAAAACAGATCCATCTTCCTTCCTCGCTGCGATCTCCACTGGGGCCGCGCGCTTTCCTGTCCCACTGGCACCGGGCCCAGCCCTACAGCGACAGCCCGTATCCACGGGCTGCTCCGCGCCCTGGGAACGGAGCAAGCCCCGCGCTCGCTGAGAGTCCAAAGCCCCGGGTCCCGCCGCGGGTCGGGGGGTGCGGGCTTTGCCCCAGGCCGCCCCCCAGGGCGGGGGGACACACAAGGGACACTGAAGCTCGGCGCCGGGGGGCACTGCGGCCGTCAGCGACCGCTGGGAACTCCCTTTGCCCGGGGAGGGGAAGCCCGGGCGCGCACCACCGAAACCAGGGCCCCCCTCCCGCCACCCGCCCGTGCTGCGGCCGGGGAGCGGGGGGAGGAGGAGGAGGAGGCGCGCCTCGAGGGAGCGGCGCGGCCGCGCTCCCCGTCCCTCCGCCCTCGCCCCGAGGCGGGGGACCCCCGAAGTCGAAAGGGAAAAGCCTCTGCTGCCCAGGCCTTTGTTTCGGGAGCGGCTGCCCGCCGCGCACGGGCGAGACAAAGGCGGAGGCGCCGCGGCATCCCTCCCGCCCCGAGGCGGGGAGGGACCGCCAGCCCGGGCACCGCCGCGCCGGGCCCAAGCACATGCACTCGCGCACGGCCACCACCGCGTTACCTTGTTCATCCCATTCCCCATGGCTTAAGCGACCCGCACGCCAGCACCGCGGGAGAAGCCGTCGGCCGCTGCTGCCGGCGGCGGGTCGGCGTGCATGGGACAGTGCTTGCCGGAGGGGAAGGGGGGGAGTGGATGACTGGGGACGAGCTAATTGCTAATTAAGGGCGGCTTCTGCTCGCCGCTGTCGGACAGGGCGAGGCGCATCCCTCCCTCCCTGGCCGTGGCTGTCTCGCTCCTGGATGCCGGGCGGCTGGGGGCGGGCTTCCGCTCGGCCGCCCCCGGGAGCGGCGCGAGCCGCGGGGCCGCGCCACCAGGAACCACCTACCGCCACCGCCCCCGCGCGCGGGCACGGCCCCCGCGGGCCGCCCTGGGGCTTGTAGTCCGCGCCGCCGCGCCGTGCGTTCGCCGCGCGCCCCGTCGAACTACGCATCCCAGCGGCCCCCGCGCCGCCGACCTGCCCCACCTGCCGCGGCCGACGGCACCCGGCGGGCGTTCCGGTGGATAAGCGCCGGCCGCGACCGCAGCGGGGTCGGCATCGGTATCAGCATCAGCATCGGCCACCGCGGCGGCTCCCGCGGGAGGCTCCGCGGCATGGACCACCCGCCGTCGGTGGGCCCAGGGAGGGCAAGGCTGCGGTGCGGGAGCGGGCAGGTGCTGCCCGCCCGCCTCTACCATCCCTAACCCTGGGTTGTTTCGGCCTCGAACGGGCCCTGGCAGGACGCACCCTGGCCTTGGGCGCCAGGGCTGCTTGTCACAGCCTCCCGCTTGCCAGCCCGTGCCACTCTGGCGTGGCAGTCCCCACGCGTCGGGCGGAAGAGGGATGCAGGATGCAGGCGTGTGAGGCTCCGGCTGTGCCGGGAGCAGAGCCTCGCACAGCTGCCTGTGCCTTGGCATGGCACGCTGCAGCAGTGTTCTGCCCTGTCATTCCAACCACGCTGCAGGCAGACAGGGACACAAAGGACATTCATGTCCTAACTGAAGCAAACAGAGAGGAGAAAGCAAATAGTTGGAAGCAAACATAGCAGGATCGTACTGGTTGACAGCACCAGAGATTGCCTGGTCTAGCCTTCCTCCTCAAGCAGGGAATGATGCTCATTGCTGAGCCTTGGCAGGCGTGGCTTCAAAGCCATGCTCAATACTTCCACCTCCATGCTTTGCTTCCTAAAACGTGACATGATAAAGCCACATCCCTCTAGCCACAGGGATGTGTTTTAGGGAGGTATGGTGATGAGGGATTTGGTGGTTAGTGAAGGAAATTTTCTCCAAAGAGTTAATGAGATAGGGGATACAGGGAAGGACTTAAGGGATACACAGAGTTCAAATAAGCAGGGGCAGGATACTACTACATAAGGTCTCTCCCATTAACCAGCGGAGTATCAGTGCCCAAAAAGCCTGAAATCCTTAGAGGCTCAAATGCAAAACAGAGAAGGATGCTCCTGTGTGACCACCATCAGGTTGCCTGTGCATTTATACATGCATCAGTGTGAGATGTTTATAAAAAGTGATGCCAAGATGTCATTTCTTGGGCACACCTCGGTAGGACTAGGCAGGTCAGGGGCATCTGCAGCTCAAAATAGGCAGTGGAAGGGTGAAAGATGGAAAACATGTTTAAGTCAACAAGCAGCAAAGCCAGGTATGAAATAACGGGTGGATTAACTCTCCAAGGGATAGATTAGTGATGGGGGGATTCTTACGTAGCGGTAGTGGTTGCCAGTAGAAGCAAACTCTAAGGGAACAATTTCATAACCTCCAGTTGCAGTCAAACATCTGCTGTTGCCAAAGAGGTGGTCACACGTCCTCACGCTACCCTTAACAGCACCTCTGTTCCCCTTTGCTTAAGCAACCCTCAACACCTGTCTGACCCAAGAACGAATTTATTCAGAGAACAATCCCTGTAAAAAGCTGGGGAGTGACAACTCACTCCCTGTGGAGTCAGACCTGTCCATACAGAGACAGGGATCAGGACCAGACACCTCAGCTGTGGCTTGTGATTTTATTGCCACATCTTCAAAAACTGATGCTGTTCCCACAGAAGCCAATGACATGCTTGAAAGCCAACAGAGATTAAGCCACCAGTTTAACTACCTAGAATGATGAAAAACTCTTACCTCGAAACAGCCATGTCATCACCACAGGTGCTTAAATTTCAGGGGAACCCTAGAGAAACACTGATTTTGCACTTAAAGCATTCCTGAACCTTTCCCTCCCTGAGGCTCCACAGAGTTTGCGGGGCTGTATCATGTCATCATCAGCCTCAAAAACATCATAGCAGTCTCTCTGTAAGGCCTGGAAGGATAACCACCCAACTTGAAGCGCTGCACTTCTCCCTTCCCCTTCCATACTGGTGAAAAGCATAGCAGTGAGCTTTATCACAGATATTGGCTTTAATATTTCATTGGTAAAGCTCTCCAGAATGTAATGTACTTTATCCTCATGCCATACAACATATGACTGAGGTCCAAACAGCATGAATCATGGCTTGCCATAATAGCTACTAAACACATTGTATCCCCAAAGTGAAAGTTGCCAGCAACACTAACAAAAAGTGAATAATATCCCTAGTAACTGCAAGGATCTGTGTTGTGCTAAGAGGTCCATGATAACTGGAAGGCCTTGTGGTCAATATGCTGGAAGTCTTGGCTCATCAATTCACTTCCCCATAACTCAGTTCTCCTATCTGTAAACTGCAAGTAACAATATTTCTGGCCTTTTCAAAGAATGCTGAAAAGTACTGTCCATGGGCGATTCATGTGAAATTATTATATTAGGCAATACAGATGGAAAACAAGTATATCTAACTTAGTATCTGACATTTTTCTGAATAGGAAGTGTTACACATCCTCGTGGGAACTGTGATCCTCTGTTTCAATTTCAAGTTTTGTTACTCTCTTCAGGATGCCTACTTCAGCCTGCAGTGCTTTCCCATATTAGACTTCTATTGCATCCATGCAACATTTTACAGTGAAAGAGCAAAAATCAGACTGGAAGAGAGTAACATACCAGGATTAAAAAGCAGTGAGAGAAAATCCACTTCTCTCTTAAACATTTACTATGGTGTATAGTATATCTTTTGTATATCCACAGGTCTAGAGAGGGAATCTTGATACTGTTTCCAGACTTGTGTCTCTTACCCAGTTATTCAAAAAAGTGATTGCTTTTGTTCTTCAGCCATTGTTTAATAAACTACCATAAAATGCATTTATGGGGGCAGGTTTTCAGCAAGCCTAAATCCTCATAAAGTGTTTATTCATTGTCACTTCTCAAGATCTTATTCCTTGTGCTTAGTATCTGCACTGGTTTTATTATTTTTAAGTTCATTTTAAAAAGCAAGCTATCCTGAGATGACTGGACTGAATAAATGAACACAGAAAATAAGAGCAAAAAGGTCCTGCTGAATCTCATAATCTTCAGTCAGTATCCCTGAAAAGAGATCACTTTAGCATGGCCTGTAATCCCACAAATCTGGGGATTTTCCTACTTCTTTGTGATATGAGGATAGTAAACTGAGTAATCCCCACTTCTTGACTTCACACACAAATGTATCTGGCAATGCCTAGTGTTCAGCAGCAGTGACCACTTCTAGGCAACTGCCTGAAAACTAACAGCCAGCCAAACTGATAATGAAACTGAACCTTCTTAAAAATTAGACAGAACTTCTGCGTTGACAGTACGTTGAGCTTACTATGTTAAAAATAAGTAAGTAAATACTCTCTACTTCTTATCTTCTGATCTCACTTTCTCTAAACCCTGAGCTAACATTCAGCCATAGGCAGAAGGCATGTCAGCTATCCATGTTCTGTCAGGAACTGATAAGACCTGGGCTGGGTTCCTGTGAAGCAGCATCACAACTTAGTTCTCAGAGATGGCAAGACGGGAGATAAAAAGAATGATTGGTCAGAAATAGCCAGTGGAATGGTTTTACTCTGAAACAGAGCATTTTGACAGAAAGGAACTGTTTTGCCAGAAATAGATAATGAAACCTTAAAATTCATAAATGGCACCAGGCTTGTTTTGTAACTGTGCTGAGGGGGAGATGAATGGAAGGGAAAGAGCTTGCAGGACTCCTTGCCCATTCTTTTAATATTTCTATTTGGTAATAAACATTGCCAAAGCATTTCAAGACCTGTTCTCTGGATAGAAGAGATTGATTTACTGCCATGTAGTCTCAGAGCAGAATTCATTCATCATTTGATAAATTCAATGTCTTAAGGCCAAATTTGGCTTTTATTATGTCACTCTGAATCTACAGTAACTTTGTCAAAATCAATGATATTTGAGCGAGCTTTAAGTCCTGAAAATGAAGGAATTTACCACTGTGGTTTACTTCAGAAAAAATTAGCTTTCAGGAAGCTGCTCTCAACAGGCAGGGTAGCTGGAAGACCATAATTCTGCCTTGTACTCCTCTTGCTTCCCCTTTCCATTACTGGATATCAACAAAATATAGACTACACCACAATGTAAGGGCTGAGCCAGCAGATGAGGCCAAAATGGCCCAAAGAAGGGCTTTGCAAAAGACAGGTCTTAAAAAAAAAAAAAAAAAATAACACCAACAAACCCAAAAACCTAACAATTCAGACAGGAGGAACAATGCTAGAGAATGGCTGAGAAAAGCATGTAGGATAATTTAGAGGTAGGTTAGCTGCCATGGCAACCATGTACCAAATTACTGCACTTCTGTGTCTCTAAACCTGCCAGCAGCTAATTTTGTTTGCATGTACTTCAGGCTTTAAAATAAATTAATCCACCTTAAAACTCATGATGGATTGCGAATGAAGTGCAGATACTGGGACTGCTGTGGGGTGTTTGGTTTAAGCATTTAGAAAATAGAGATACAGAAAATAATAGGCCTTGAAAATTCTGATTTCACTAAGTAGTTAAAAATTACATAATTTCTTTTAACATTCATAGCAGGCAGTTTTAACCCTGAATTTGTACTACTTTGCCTTGCACATATTATGCACATATCTGCCTTTCCAGATCAACCTGACACATTTACTTCCAATCTGTATATAAGAAAGAAATTGGTCTTAGCAGCACCTCTATTTATTTTTCACTGTGAGAAACTGCCATGTTAAAAAAAGAGTGAGACATTTTCTTTTAAAGCCAGATTCTTTGGAAATATGGTAAAATACTACATCCCTAAAGAATAGAAACAAGGCTATCAAAAAGCATGCTGCAAGGCACATGCATATTACTAGTTACTAAGAATAGTCCATTGCTGAGTGTGAGTGAAAATATCCAAATGTGTTCTCCTGATAAGCTAAGCATGTATTCCTCTCTCTGGGCACACGTAAAAGTGTCCTCAAATGGAAAAATAATGTTATAATAACCTAACCTCTTGCTTCCAGGGCATATACGTGTAATGTTAGGGGAACACAACACCTCTGTGGAGGAAGCCCACAGACCATTATATATTGGTCCATGAAAACCATTCAGAGTAGAAAGAGGTCAGATTTTGATGTACCCCCTGAAACCTGATGAACATAATTGAGATGTTCAGCCATCAGTTGAGATCCGTTAGGTCTTGATCCCCCAAAATCAGCAGGAATCTTTGAACCAGCTGCAGAAGCAGCAGTGATCAGTGCCAGGAGGTCGTTCCCCATCCTCCACCATCACATGATACCCATTGTAAAATGTGGTTTTCAGTAATCATGGCCTGGCTACAGCCAAAGTGCTGGGCAGAGATCTTTATTTTGTTGACATTTTCCCGATAGCTTTTCCTTAATGGGGTTGTCTTAAGATCTCCTGTGTTTGAAAATTTGAAAACAGTTAAAGCTACAGTTCTTAATTCCATGTTACATTTTCTTGGCCAAAATCTAAGATATTAGCCCTTAAATACCACATATGAAAAACATAATCCAAATACTTATATGTCCAACATATTCACTACCTTCTCCAAGAAGGTTCAGTTAGTCTTTGAGGGGCTTGCACTGTTACTTTTCCTGGTGGCTCACTCTTGATACAATAATATTATTGTCCAGAGTCAGTTGCTTGATTTTTCTTGCAGAGTTTTCACTTGGTTTCCTTATTTTGGCCTGTTGCAGTTGCCTGTCTGACTGTGGCAACAGGATCCTTCCAAGCCACATGATTACCTAGAAAGTCTGGCAGTATTTCTGCAGTGCATCTGGGATTCTGCATGTCCAGGACACTTCAGTGGGCTGGGAGTAGTCCATAGCACAGCTGAGAACAGAAGATGAGTGGGAAGCAGAGCACAGAGTATGCTTACAGGCAAGAAACATGCCTCTTAGACTGTGTAGGTGTAAACCCCTAAGTTGTTCTCAGGTTAAGCAGCAAACTCATTGCCTCTTGCCTGTCTGCCTGCCTTCTGCTAGTTATAATAAAAAATGTGTTTTCTCTCCAAATATATGGCCACCTGAGACACCCTGGATCAGTATAATTGCTACTTCTCTCAACAATTAAATACCTTCGGGGATGTGAATCATGTCAAGCTCAGGAAGCAGTAACAATGACAGGACTTCACACCCTGCTATTTGCAAATCCCTGTCCTAACATCATCTCCTGCTGAGCACTGTGTCTCCTGAGCAATGTATCCACTGCTGACAAAGCATTCCACTGATGTGGCTCAGTTAAGTACAGATTAACACCCAATGTTGATATGTAAACCTGTACTCCGCTGCACATGGTGTAAATTCAAGGTATTAAACTAAAGATATTTTCAGACATTATAATATCCCATATGCCTTGTTCAGCACAACAGGTGCAATCACCAGTAAAGTTGTGTCAGAGAAGATAAGAATTACTGGTCTGGGATGGGTACTGTCTGCTTTGAGGTTGACAGCTCATTGGTTTTCTTTTCAACCATTGTCTCCTTCTAAGGGAAGAACTACTAGAACTGATGATATTACCTTCTTTGTATACACTCTGTTCTCTAAGCTGATGTCTTTCACTTTCTGCGACTACTGGACACCTTGCAGTTGCAGGAGGTAATGCTCATATCTGTCTCTGAGCTCTTCAGGTGTTTCTGTGATATTTTATTGTGGTATTTTAGACTCCTGGTCAACCCCTGTGCTAAAGCACCAGAACACCCTGTAAGCTTCTAAGCTGTCAAGGGTTAATTCAGGGTCTCATTGTGGTCTCTTCTGAGGCTTTTTTTTTGTTCTGATCCTTTGGTCTTTTGTCTGGGACTTGACACATTGGTTCTTCTTAATAGTGTATACAATTGTATACTTCTCAATAGTTTCACTTTCCTTTGTGACTCCAGGTTAGATCTACTCTCTCAAACCATTAATTCTACATAAGAATAGAAGAAAAGCTGTTCCAGGTCTTAGCAAGGATCCATATAGCTCCACATCTTCTCTCAACAGTGGCAAGTAATGGATACCTATGAGAAACAGGGTGAGTACAGAATGGGGTTCCTTTTCCTTTTATATCTTCCAGTTTCTGGCAACAAGCAGGTCAAGTTTATGAGCCAGGGACACACCCCATCCCTGAATGTTAAGCTGGTGTTTTTATGTTAATATTTATAGTGACTCCAAGATCTCTTTCTTGAGTGACAAGTGCTCATTCAGGACTGTTTGCATTTATTAGGGCTGTATTTTTCCCATATGCACTCTTTTGTATTTTATCAGCATTATATTTTCTGTGCCATTTTACTGCCCAGTCAGTTGATAATGTAAGATCCCTGTGCTACTTTCTCAGGCAGCTTTTGTTTTGGACTATTGAAACAACTTTTATCATCAGGCACTTTGGCTATCCACCATCTTCTCCAGCCCATTTGTGAATGTGTTGGACAATGCTGGACCTGGCACAGACTCTTGTGCCTACCTTCCTCTTGTGACTTCCTTTAATTGTGAAAAATGATCAGTAGCTTCCACCTTTGCTTTTCATCTTCAAACCAGTTACTAATTCAAAAAAGGACCTTCCTTCAAGGTAAGGCTTTTTAATGAGTCTTTTGAGGTTTGGGTAATACTGTGAAAAGGTTTCTGAAAAATGCCATTATACAAATTCTGAGGGAAACTGGAATGTGGAGAAGGGTGCAAAGAAAGGGGATGTGTTTGTCTCTGAGACCAGAAAGTTTTCAGCCCTCCTTATGTCTAAACTCCCCCTTAACCTGATAAAACTGTGTAGTCTTCCAGAGCACTACTTGTGAAAAAGCAGCATATTTCCACTGAAATCCATCTGGCAATGCTGATAACACGGGCTGAATGTTCAGCTTATTAGTAGAATTACTAAGTATGTTTCATTTACTCATGTCTTTGAATCTGGTTCTGTAAGCAAAAATATTTTTGTCTCTTCATTGTAGACAGCTGTACTTTGTTCAGGAAAAGTCAAACCCACCAGGAGGGAATGCAATAGTCAAACTCTAGTTAGACCTGGGTAGGGTAATGCAGATTTACACTGAAGTCCATGAAGGCACATACTGCTTAACAGGAACAGCTTATGCTGTCAGTGAACTAATGTAGCTCAGTCATTGACTTCAGTAGGAAAAGGAACGCCATTTGTCATACAAGATTCACTTGACCTATCTTTTTGTAAACAAAGAGAGAAGACATTTCAGGAAATTTCACATGAAAAAATGACTTTTTTCATTTGATTATTATTCCACTTGCTTTGATGGTTACTTTATTTGTCATCTGTCAGAAAATGAAACTCATTTTATACTCTTTTAATATCCGAATAGAGCTATAATGCATGTACATGGGCTTGTCTTTAGGAGTGGTGCCAACACTGAGTAATTTTAATATATAATATACTTGATAATATCTGAACAAATATTCTAGAATAAGTCACTATAGAAATGAAGGTAGGTTTCCTGTGTGGCTTACAATATCATACTAAAATACAAAAGAAACCTGACTGGGTTTCAGTTATGAAATAATAGATACCGAGGCATTTTCAGGTTTGCTCCATATTGCCAAAGTGTTTAAACAGGTGTGTTTCACAAAGTTTGTGAAACAAAAGCTCAGCTTAAAGCAAATCAACATTAGGAAGCAAAACCAGCGCTGAGTGATAGTGCTTAAAAACTGAGAAACAAGAGTGGTTTTAAACAGCAACTGAAAAGATGCTTTAATGTTTTTTTAACATGTTTTCACAATTTTCTGCAGTTACATACAAGTCACTGCATCTTATATTAGTATTAGTTCTGTAGTTTGGATTACATCCATCAAACATCAACTTTTTCTTGTAATATGAGCAGGTTAGCAGTTTTTGAAGATTAAGAAAACATGCTCATGAACCTAAATTCTAAAACCCATTATTTTTTTTATCCAGAACATTACCTTATGTATACAAATGGGGAAAAATGGCAATGAATCTAAAGGCCTCGATAACTTTACTTGACCAGCAATTATCCTCACAGTTTTTAGGAACAGGCATACCCCTTTGCAGCGAATGCAAGGGTAGGCAAATATTGTTTGCTAAATTCAAGTGATATATGTAATCAATATACTAACTCCACCACAGCTGAAAAAGTACCTTTCCATCCCACTGTGAGCTGAATGTCTTCCATCACCATGCAAAATGATAGTCAGTCTCCCTTTGAAACACAATAAGGCTTGGCAGTAGCATAGGAAGAAGTATTTGGGTCAAAGACTGCTAGCAGAGGCACAGGTGGACAACGTGACCTGAGGAGAAATTAAGAAAATCTTAAGAATTCTGCATGATTTTACTTAAGTCTCTAAAACCTTTAATTCATCTGAATTCACTTCAGGCAAATCCCTTCATGCCTTTAAGTGTAAAGAAGCCTTTTGTCAGGAGGGCTTGTACTGTGTAGCTCTCTGACATGACTTAGGAAGATAAGACATGAACAATGGAGAGTTATTAACATGAATAATTTTCCATGCAAATCGGAAGCACCACAGAACAATGGGATGGCAGTGGCTTAACGCCACCAGGTTTTCTAAAGGCCTGAACATAAAATATCACAGTAGGAAAAAAATACCAAAGTCAAAATCTACTAGAGCAAACCTGCTTTCAATAAATAGATCAGGCAGGTGAACCACAAGATCCCTTTTTCTGGTAGTGTTTCCAGAGATTTACTGCCCAGAAAACACGATCGAAAAGCCAAAGCTAAAGAACAACAGCAGATTTTCCAAACTTGAAGAAGTTCGCAAACACAGTGCATGAATCTAAACATCTTCACCAGATTCACCTTCATTCCACATAGTGGGGTCATCAGGATTATGACAAATGCATTTGCAAAAGGCTAGCAGCTATATTAAGCAAATATGTTGGCCCCTTCAATACAGGAAACAGAGAAGCAATATAAAGAGATGAGCAAGTTAACTTTTCTCCATGTCTCTTTGTGTGTTGTCTTTTTCAGCAGAAGGGATGTAAGAAGGAGGAGGGCTAGCGGAAGCTGTAGGTATTGGGATACACATCCCCTGTGGTGGGTAGTTGCTGCTTGGACTTTCCCAAGACTGTTATCTCTGTTACATGTGTTGTTACAACTCACAGCTGAGCAGCAGAGCTGGTGCTAGTCCTGATGGCAATAGGTTATACTAGTTGAAATACCAATCCCAAGAAGCTCAAGGGCAAAAAACTTCACACAGCAGGTAGCTAGCAGCTGTCCCACTGGATCTTCCATCCTTTCCCTGCTGAAGCCTCCTTCACTGGCACCTATGGGAGTGATCCTACAGAAGAAAAGTGTTTCCATTTGACATTTCAGTGGACAGTCTACGTAGCAGCAGGATGCTGTCTGAAACAAGCAGACCTCTTGATTTATTCATTCTGACAGTGGGGATTATTTTAGAACACAAGTGACATGAAATAATGTTTTCTGCAGTTCATCAGGAAACAGAACAAGACAAAGCACCAACTTTTGAGGAACAGGAGCTATGACAGCCTGTCCGTGCTGCACATTTAGAGCTTCTCTGACCATAAGAGGAATTCAGAATAGAATGTTCATTAAAAGGGTTGGTTTTGCTGAATCAAATCAAACTACTACATGTCTCTGTGTTCAGAAAACCTCAATGTAGTTTATGTTCTATTGGAAACCAAAAAGTGACTGTCAGCTAGCTCCAGTCCATCAAGTGCAACATTCACTGAAATCAACAGACCTGTATCCCTTGCCCCTAAGTCTGAAAGGTTTTCAACAAGTTGCTGACATGGAGGAGGTCATTCAACCATTTCTAGTACTGGGGAAGGAGGGAGGGAGAAAGGGAAGGAAGGATCACCTTAGAACAAGACTACTGTATGTTGATGTTTGGGAAGTCTACAGTCTACAGGCTGCTGCCTCTGAGCCTTTCTGTGGTTACACAGAGGATTTCGGTCTCTGTGTACCTTCTGGTGTACTTGGCAGTCTGGCACCTTCAATCCATACTTGATTCTCTACTGAAAACATTGATGCTAAATCTTAAAATCGAGAAGCTGTTTTCCTCTGCCCATGTGAAACGAGAAAGAAAGTGTAAATTTGCTTTCCTTATTGTGTTGCAGTGATGAATCATTACTCAATACAACAGCCAAAGTACAGGTTTTCTGCATATGTGAAAGCAAGATTACCCTGTTTCTGCCATACATATTTATTCAACTCCCCTTTTATCCTTCCCCTTAATCTTTGTCCCTCACTTACCTCACCATTCCTCCCAGTCCCCTTCTTGCTTGCACATCACAGCTCCAAGCCTTACTATCTTCCACTCTCTAGAGATCAAATGGCAGAAGAAAAAAACATGAAGAGTAGATGGGTCAAGTCTAGTTACAAGTGAATGCTTGCTTTCCTTTTTCTGAAAGTCTGCCTTTTACCTTCACTTCTGCCCTCCAAGGATCTGCGCTTCAGCCACTGAGAATGAAAACAACCACAGAGAGGAGTTTGATTTTGGACCTTTTTTCCCAGAGGAGTGCCTGTATTTTTCTGGATAAACTGTTTCCAGTATAAAAATAAAGTTGATCTTTCAAGTAAAGAAAAATATCTTCTTTCTAAACCAGCTTATGGGAAGCAGTGGGATGAAGAAAAATGAAAATGAGTATTGTTAAACCTTTAATGTTTTTACCACCAAATTAATAATTTTCAATGAAAACAATATATTATTTAAAATTAATCAGTATTTTCTGAGGGGAAAAACAGATCTCAAATCTTCCTTCCAAACCACCTGTTCAACTGGAAGCTTTGGAGCTTGAGAATAATTCAGAGGTACACATATCACATGTGGCTCTGTAAGACATGGACTTAGAAGACTCCATTATGCAAAAAAGATGACTGACAAAGGATATGTTTAGAGATCTATTAAACTAGGTGCCATAGGAAAAGTGAATGGGCAATGGCTGTCCCTAGTCTCTTTTCCAATGCCAGAGCTAAGGGGCATTAGATAAAACCTGCACAGAGCAGGCTGGAACAAAGGAAGTGGTCCTTTATACATCGAGCTAAACTTTGGAAATCCTTGCTGCACAAGTGTGTATGTAAAAAGGTGCTGCATGGGCTCAATAAGCAACTAGAAAAATCCATAAAGGGTCACTAAATAGGAAATCCTTTAGCAATGGAAGTCCATGAGCTACACATTATTGAAGGCCAGAAGAAGATTCTGGAAAAGTTACACTATATTCTTACCTTACCTTCTGATTCCCCCCTAGGCATCTGCTCTCAGGTACCATTGGACATGCCAGCTGACCAGTCTGACCAGACACAACTGTGCCTTTGTTCTTCAACTTTGACTCAAAATAAGGATCTTTTATATACAGCAGTATCTACTGCTCATTGAGCTCACTGAAGGTATTGTTCAGCTTTATGAATTAACATCTCAAGGACAGTTCTACTCTGTAAAACGTTTCCAGTAATGGGGTTTCACTTTTATCATCTTCAGTGTTTCCCATCATAAATATACTTATTTTCATGTACATGATAGCATAAATCCAACCAGATCTCTAAAGCTTGTGATGGCTTCTTTCCTTCCTGATTTTTTTCTCCAGAATACCATATTATGTGCCTTCATATTTTCTATTCAAACTCACCACTTTCAGAGTGACTGGAATGTAATGTGAAACAAAGGGCATGCTCCTATATACACTGAGTCAAGGCATGGAAATCCTTGCTGCAAAAGACTGAACTTTTTCACAAAGAACTGAATCAAATCTCACCTCCTTTAGCTGGCCACACCTACTAACTGCACAGAGATAAAACCCGGGGAAACCCCTTTGTTCAATGCAAGTGATGATGTCAGTTGTTCCTACAGGAGGTGGAATTCTTCCATGGTGACTTCAGAACAATGTCACATTTAAATTGGCCTTTGGCTCTTCCTGTCTTTAGACAAGATTTCTTTTTAGTGAGCCTTCAGTGACCCTACCATGATGTTAGTTTGGTGGTTGACCAGAGAGAAGGTCGCTATTTCAGCAAAAATGCAGGAGAAATGACAGTTGTGTGGGCAGCAGCAAAGTCAGAAGCACTACACTATTTGGAAATGAAAGACAGGCCTTGAAGTTAATTCTAGACTAAGAAACAGATGAAAACTATCCAGTTCCTGAAACCAAGTACCCACCTTAGCTGCATCCAAACATCAGCTTGACTGGATTTTGACGTCGAAACACTACTACACTCACTGATCCTTTGACAGTGAAGTCCAGATGCACAAACTTGTAAGGAACTAATGCACACTCCAGCAGGTAATTTAAATTTACACCAGGCGCAAGTCTCTTCTAGGGCCTGAAATCTACTTCTTATATTATAAATTTTACTTAGCAGTTGAATAAACATCCAGAATGCTGTTTAGCTGTGAGCCTGCTACATGCTTTGCATGCTTGTTGTGCACTTGTGACATTCATGCTACTGTTTCATGATTTTGTGGCCCCCTGGCACAAAAGTAGCTCTGATAATAAAGTCATTACGCCTTGCCTTGAGCAGGGTGTCACACTGTGTTTGGCACAGAGGTGAGAAAACTGAGTTGATCCAGTGCCTACACAAGTACATGGCATTACTAGGTTGTGCAATGTAACTCTCAGTCTCAAATATTATTACTTATGCATTTTTTTCCATCACAGTCAATATTCTGAGTAGTTTCAGTTGACACCTATGGGGAGAATTTTCAAAACCGCAAAGTGTCAGCCTAACTCTATTTTCAAGAAAATCAACAGTATTTTTATTGACTTTGGTTTTGGGTGATGGTTGCACACTATAAAGCATTTCATCTTATATTTTGAAAGCCAAAAAGAACCTCCAAACAGAACACCCACTATTGAAGGCATTCTGGCTAAACTAAATCATTCTTTTTAATTCTGGCTCTGATTCCCCAGAATATTTTGATCATCGGGAAAGATATCTGACCATGAACATTTCAGACAGACAGGGACAAAAACCTGGGTCATAAATATGGATAGGTCAACCACTGAAAGGGATAGCATCTGCAAAATCACAAGCATTAACTGTCTACGTACCAATGTAAATAAATTAGAAGTTCTCTTATCCCTAGAGCTCACAGAAGTTTTTTAGAAAAGTCTCAACTCTTTCTGTGCCATACTTTAGGGCCAGTTCTGAAACCTCATTCACTGGCAACTTCTGGCACTTTATCCTAAGGCTGAAATCAACCATTTTAAATAAAATGGTTGTACCATTCTCCAACATCAAACGTGGTCCTCTAGAGTTTCACACCTGGCCATAGGGAGGGTGGTTAAGCACTCAAACAGCTGCCCAGAGAGATTGTGTGCAACAAAAACCCCACTGGGCAAGGCCTGAGCAAGCTTATCTGTCTGTAATGTACTCCCTGTTTCGACCAGGAGCTTGGACTAAGTGACCTCCAGAGATCCCTTCCAACTTCAACTAAGTCTTAGACTCAATGATTCTGCTTCTTTTTCCCTTGTATCACCTACCGCTAAGGGACATCTCACATAAAAATGCTGTTATTGTAGCTCTGCCCTACTAGCCTTGGCCTTTCACAATTTTTTTGCCTGGACCTTCCCTCTGCCTTCCTAATGAACACCCTGTTTCTGTATTTTCTCATAGTGTCTAGCCATCAGCTTTAAAAACAACACAGACAGAACTTTAAGCCTTTCTTCCAAAAACCTTCTCCACATTCTCAGCTGTTAAGACAAGACAAACATCCTCAGCTCAGTCTCACTGTTTTACTTAACCAGCTCTGTAAACCTCCATATTCAAGCTATATCTAAACATTGCAGTTTCTTTGTACATCAAATCTCTTACATTCATCCCTCTCTTTCAGTAATCAGGGACCTAAGATGGGGTTCTGAATTTTATGTTAGTATTGTATCTACTTCTATACATCATTTTGTGTGGGTTTGCTTTTTCCTGCAGTTTTTGGTGACTCGCTTACAATATTCTACAATTTCACAGATTTTTTTGCTTTCCTTTTTTTTCCCTTTTTTTAAAAGTCTTAAACTCCTCAGATAATAATAATAAAAAAGATAATTTATGTAAGCTAAAATTAATATTAATTCCATGGTCTTAGCTCTCAGTCCAGTTCTCATGTCACATCCTAACTACTAGATGACAGGAAGGGTATTAGCAAAGATACTGGATTTAAGATTCATAAAACTTGGCATTGTTTTCTGCATTTCAGTAGGTCTACAGTGCAGAGTTTCATATGAATTAGACAACATACTTCAGCTGGAATATATGAAGACTTTGAAACATCTAATTTACATTTTGAAAATAGAGTTCTTTATTTAAACCTGCCTTTTGTATCTATTTACCTTTTGAAGTCTAAGGGGTAGAAGTATCCAAAAGCTTAAAAACTGCACCTCAGAAAAATGGGCATAACACTGTTTCCTCCCTCTTACTGTTCTTCATCTAATTATGGGGACCTTAACATCTTTCCAGTGAGGAACATATTTTATTATGTGTTTCCAAAGCATAACAAGACATTCACTCTTTTGAATAAATGGAGAGCTTTAAGCAGAAATTAAAAAAACCCACGACCAACAGGTTGTACTGCTTCAGCTTTTAAAGGACAACCTTTTAAGAAATGCATCTTTCCTTACGCTGCAGCCTTTCAGAAGATTCCCACTTTCTAAGAGAATCAATGAGAGTAACTTCTGTCATTTCTTCTTGGTCCTGCAAGTTAGGCTAGGAAATGCAGCTGAAACTAAAATCTTCCATACAGTTTCTGTTTTCTGTGAGTATTTTTGAATATCAAGTGACACATGTGGGTGGGGGAACTTCAAGATTAGTTTTAATCAAATCTCAGCTTTTGCTGGAACTTCCCAAAGCATTTCTCACCCTTTGCTCCTGACTGAAACATTTTGCTGGGTTTGGGTGCATTCCAATTAGAACTTAAAATATTTGATTTTGTTTTGTTGTCTTGCAATGTTCCAAGTACTCCCAAGTTTCATTTCATCATTCAGATCTACCCCTTCAGTCTTCTATCCTGAAGTTAGCTCTAAAATGTTACCTTTGTATCTGAGATACAGACCACATTAAAACAAATCTGGTGATTTCCAAAAGACTTCTAGTCTTAATAAGGAAATAAAAATTTATCTTCTACCACAGGCAATGAAGATGGAATTAACAGGACTGAAGCAAACTGAACCCATACTGACAGCAGCTTCTTGATACCATTTTAGAAAGAAAAGATGAAAGGTAGCTTCACTGTGTTTCTGCATAGAAAGATCACTCATTCCAGTAATGATCAGCAGAAGAACTTTCTAATATAGGAGCATGGGTTCATAAAGTGAGAGTTGGAGAGTGAACAAATAATCCA